AATCTCGTGTTATGCTGTCGCCCACTTCTTGACAATTGTTGACGAATTCGCGAATAATCATCTTAGTACTTTGGAACAATACTTTCGTTTCGCTGTACTTCTGCGCTGCTTCTTTTACTGACATGGCTCTTAACATTACATTATCCACGTACAAATTATTCAAAATTTCCTTCGCTGTTTCCGTATTCTCTTGCTTTAACTGCTTCCTCAGCTTTGCTACTAAGAGAAATGGACTGGATGTTAACCCGAACGGCACTCGCGTAAATCGGTATGTCTGTATGTTGTTGCTTTTGACTGGTTCCTCTCTATTTTTTAACCAGAGGAGTCTAGTGCAATATCTCGATCTTGTTGGTGCAGACCAATCTGGTGAAAAGCTTTTTCGACGTCAGCTAAGAGAATGAAACGCGCTTGTCGAAATCGAAGTGAGGTACCACATAACTCCGGCAGAATGGTCGCCCTTTGAAGAGTTCATCATTTAGTGATTTTCCATGAGAAGTCTTTGTTGAAGCGTCAAAAACTACCCTTAGCTTGGTGGTGCTTCTAAGTGGTGTAAGCATCGCTTGATGCGGAAGATAGCTTACCACACCTTGAGGATTATCGCCTTCAACCTTTTCGATTATTTCATTTTCCAGCTGCATCTTGAACGTTTGATCGTACTGTTCCAGCAGACTTGAATTTAGAAGCAGCATACTAACAGTAGATTTGAGTCTGGCTACGCACACTGCATAGTTGGACTAAATATTTAAGTTTTGCCTCTTCCAAGGCCCACTGTTTCCAAATGCCAAATTGGTCTACATCCGGCTGTTCGGCCTGCACTTGTGCTGACGATGATGGCAGTTTTAACGAGTGCTTTTTTTGTTTTCGTAGTAATGTTATTTATTGCACCTTTTCCTGCTATCATCCATCCTACGGCTGAATCAATAAATTGAAATCCGGAGTTCAGTATTGTGCGACGCCCCTTTACAAAAATGAAGTAGCAGTCCAGATTTACTACAATTTGTGGCTTCTTACAAACGATCGCTGCCTGAATAACATCTGGATTTTGTTTCAGCTGTTGACCTTCTCTATCCCTTTTGTGTGCTATCAACAATTCTTGCGTCAAAAACTGCATAGTGCACGCTGTTATTGTATTTTGGAAGCCATTTTTTAATACAAGATTAACTTTAACCTCTCTCGAATTGTAAACTTTCGATTGCGTTTCTGCAAATGCTGCTATCGAAATAGGCTTGCGCACAGTGCTGATTAGTTTAAGTTGCTCTGCCAACTCTTCTGTTATGAATGAGCGCTGGCATCCCGAATCAAAGAAAACTGCAGCTTCGATTTTCTTATCTGGATCC